ATAGTTTCTAATTTAGACTTCTAGCCTTAGGAGTAAAACTGGGGGAATGCTGCAGTATTGAATAAGAATAATTTAAGGCAAAAAAAGCTTATCCTTAAAAAGGTACGTAGTTGATTGGTCTTGTTTGCCCATTGAATAATAAACTTAAAACCACAAAGTAATGAGGCAACACATTTAAAAAGAAACAAATCACATATTTAAACTTTTTTTGTTGAAATTTTAAAAAAAAGTTTCAAAAGAAGGTACATTAGTCTTCCCTATTACACAAATACCTTCCTACTAAGCATAATACCATAAAGCCCTTACCTCTGAAGCATAACCTCTCCTGCAAAGCAGAAATAAAAAAATCAGTATTAAACATCTTGGATTTTTAGATTGCATAAGATTACAGATAAGGGCTTTTTAGAAACGTCTAGGCAAAGCTGAGAAGATACATTGGACTATTGAGTCATCGGGAAAGTCATGACACATTTTGCACAGAAAAATATGTGATGACTTTCCAGATCACCTAATGGAAACTCTCTCAGTGAGAAATATACCCTTTGGTACTATTACAACAGGAGGATCAATGTTTTTATGACTGCAGTACTAAAGAACAATGACCATCCCAGACCTTCAATCCATCTGAACAACAAAACATGCAAGCTCTATCTTATCTCAACAGTCTATAACAGCACATGTTGACTGCGTTATCATCAATTGCAATAAAAATAATTCTGTCTGATCTCTGCTACAGAATTCTTGAGACATATAAAATACCCATTGAGGAGACAGGTGAGTTTCATAGATGAATGCAAAAGTTACAGAATTCAAAATAATTTCAGGGACTAGAATATATTCTTCTAAATAATTGTGTATTATTTTTATGTTATGTTAACTTGATTCTAAAAATAATGAAAAGAAAATACTGACTATCCTTTAGTGGTCAATTACCTTTTGGAAATAAAAGTAAAAAGAGAGATGTAATGATTAAAGATTCTATATTACATGAAAATTAATAAAGTTGATAGGCCGTAAGTTGGTGAAACATGTAAATGTACTTCAGAAGGAGAAAAGAAAAATAGTAGCATTTTCAATGTTGAATGTTACCAGTTACAAACATTTTCTATTAATTAATCAGCTGACCTAACTTTATGCTGTTGAATATGCTGAGCGGAATTAATAAGCAACTGTAAGAAATATTTATTATAGATAAATACATACATAACTTTCTAAAGTCTGATAAAATAATCTTGGTACAAAATATTTTTTCTAAGCCGCAAGGCCTTCATAAGATGAGTAAACCTACTTATCTAAACTCACCCTAAGTGGTTAACATACTGTTCACTGAAATTGTTAGTCATAAAGTTAAATAATGCTTACTTCATCCTATTAACAATTTAATATTTGAAGTGTGTCTGTAGTAAATTTTGCAGAAGAGTTATATGGTTCTGCCAATACTTAAGAAAATTATAATCTTTCTATAACCTTTAAAAATTAAGCATTTTAAATTTTTACTTCATTTTTTATCTTTTTAATTTTTTTATTTTATTTTTTGGTGATAAGTACAAGTACAGGAAGCTCATATTTTGGTTTGAAAAATGACAATCCAGTCACATACATCATATAAAATATCCAACCAGAACTTTATTTCCCAGGATATTTCAACTCCCTCCCTTAATGAGAAATATTTTCTATAAATATGAGAAATACAACATCGATGGATAAACTATACTGTTTCTATTAACCTTTCTGTTGTCTTTCATTTGGTTATTGGTATGCTTGTCTTAGCTGAAAGGCAGGAAGTTACTTAAAACAGGCACATAAGAGAATAAATATAATTATCTGTGTGCTTGCAAAATATCACAGCTGAAACTTAAAAAAAAAGTAATATAATATTGATGCATCTTTCTATGCAGTTTATGTCCAATATGTATTAATTATTTATTTTACATGATCTATATGTATTATTGTTTACTTTTTAATACTAAGGACAAATGTATGGTAATCTTGTCTTTCACACAATTTCTCTAATCATTCCATATGTGTTCATGAGATTGTAATTAACACAGTGGGTAAAAAAATGTTCATTTTCTAGAGAATGGTTGTCAGGATGTGGGGACTTTGGTGTTCAGGAGAGGAAAAAAATCTTTTGACTTGTGTACTAAAATAATAGTTATAGGTCTCATACAGGAGATATTAACTGACATTTTTGTTTGTTCATTTGCTATAGGGTGTATGCACTTGTCTGAGAGAGACAGAGAAGGAAAGTGAGAAATCACCCCTCAGAAGAAATGACCACAAAACGTTGAATTCTCCCCTTGGGATTCTGAGCAGACATGCATACACGCCTGGTGTGATTTGCAAGCTTCCAGGTAGGGAATCAGTTAGCCATGTGGGATCCAGCCACCTTAACCTCCAGGCCATCTGCTGGCCCTTAACTATTTTTTTACCATACTTAGGAAACTCCAAAAATAACATGTCAATAAAACATTGAATTAAATATAAGGGACCAGCAGTTGGCGTAATGGCTATGTCGCTGGAATCCCATGCCCTCTAGAACAGTTTGAGTCCCAGACCTAGTGGCTTAAACTCATGCCGGGCATGTGTGTGTGTGTGTGTGTGTGTATCCAAGATCCCAAGAGGAGCAGAGAGGAGAAAGGATTGTGATGTGACCATTCCCCCGGGGTGTGTGTGTGTGTGTGTGTGTGTTATTTCCTACTATCTATATCTCTGTCTCTCTCTATCTTTCTGGCAAGTGCCCATGCCCTATAGCAAAATCTCTCCAGAAAAAGAAAAAAATATATAAAACATGGCTGGTCCAATTGCGTTGGCATAGCAGAAGCACAATGATCTGCAGTGCTTGAAGCCATGCGGATGACCAGAGTTCAGTTTCCAAGTGGACCTGCACACAACGTGCACAAATGCATATGCCCATGGTCCTGGCTGACTGGAAGACTGGAAGATGTATCACAGCATGAGATCCTGTTGAGAGCACTTAGCTTTCTCTCTCTCTCTCTCTTTCTCATGAAATAAATGAGCAAACTTAATTATAAATAAATATTTAAAAACACAGGTATGGATGTTTTATTTGAAAAATATAAAATTTACTAGTAAACATTTTAGATGATACAAATATTATAAAAATGTTATAGACAAGGCCAATGTAACAATTTAGTAAAGCTATAGGTGGATACACAAAAATGTTACTTGGATTTACTGTAATATTTCTTTGGTCAATATTTAGAGATTTCTTATCATCAAAAGATCCTACATTTCACATTTTCAAGTTGATAGAAATTAGCTTTAAAAACACACACTCACATTAAAGGCTTATGCAATTGTGAATAATACCTTGTCAGAGTCCGCCAAATGGCACAAGTTCTCATGTATTGGGCCAGCTGCCAACAAAAACTCCAACTGAAGTTTTTCAGTGAAAGAGAGAAAAAAGTCATGTTCAAAAACCCCAAGAAAGAAAGTACTCTTGATTTGGATGAAAAGAACCTGGAGTAGATAGACTAATGAAAATAGCCTTATAGGTTGTTTCTTATCTGATATTGTTCATTAGAAATACCAAATTGAATTCTTGAAGAAAAGTCACACAAAACAGGGATCCAACAAATCTGGAAGTCAGGCATTATAGGACTCTCAACCAACATTCTAGAATGATTTGTGCCTGCATTTTAGAATTGTATCATTTACTATTGAGACTTGATATAATTTAAAATATTGAAATTCCAAAATAAAACAAATATCTATTATTGTATTCAAAATGGGGGACTTCCATTAAGTAAAATTTATTGCATCATTTCATGGGAAAAAGAAATTATTGTAATTACTCAATGGTCACTTATTATACATGATATGCTACAATAGGTGTGTAGATATATTTGTATGTATGTACATAGGTAATTGAGCTAAAACAGAGCTCAGTGAAAGTGCAGGCTTCATTAAGAAGAGTAGGAGAAGAGTACTTAGCTGATTTACAAATGGCTTACAAACACTCAAATTTAACAAGTTAAGTTTTAAAATACTAGAAGTACTAGAAATGCAGAATTTTGTTTCTGAATATAAAAGTGCATTTTCTTTGCCTAAAACAAAGAGCAAAGGTCTATATAAACTTGGTGACAGCTTACCAAATATAATCTCTCTTGATTTTCTGTGTAAGTTTGTTTTATACTTCATTTATTATTAAAGTGGAAATATATAAATATTTTCTTTGAAGGCGAATCTTAGGATAAAAATACAATTAAGGACATGATATAATAATGTGAACAAAAATACACAGTACTTTCTGGGAACAATAAAATGGCTTACAAAAGTGAATAACTCGAGATTTATTTCCATTATGAAGGGGAGGGAAATCACATTGAGATATAAATGGAATAAAACAAGAATTGAAAAAAAGTAAAAGATTTATCAAGCCTATAGCATACTAGTAAGATCAAAGCAAGCCCAAATAAAAGATGTTTTTATAAGAAAACAGATACACACTGTAGCACCTGTGATTTATTTTGGAATGTCTCATTGTCTACCATTACCTACATTTCTTGGAACATAACATTTCACTTTGGTGGTTTTTATTCTTGCCAAGTACACCAGCCTCAGGGAAATAACAGAACCTATAATATCACTTTTAGTTTTCTGTAACATTTTGCTTTTTTCCTGGAACATTCATCTGCAATTATGATCAAAAAGTAAATATAAAAGTCACTCCATTAACATATTAATAATTTAAGTTAGATATCTAACTTTCATGCCCATAAATTCCCAATAAAAGTAGATTAAAATTACTTACTTTTTAAATAAGTGTAGGACAAATAATGCAATTTTGTAGTTAAGAAAATTAAGGTAAATCTATTAATATGAGTTAGTAGTGATGAAGTTAATTATCTTTTAAATTAAAAATGAGGAAAAAACAGCACTGTATTGGGTTTGGTATAAAATAATGGAATCTTCTTTGATGTTCAAATTTGATGCTCAAGTTGGAGATTACAGTCAACAAAAGACTTGCCCAATTAAAACAGGAAAAAAATGCAACATTATAGTGTAGTAGATTGCCTGTGAGATTGTTTTTCAGTTACCTCAACAACATTGTTCAAATTCTCCAGGCTTTGTTCAGATGTGACTTCCATATTTGTTACCTCTGAAGGGCAAGTTTGAAGTTTTGAGACATTTGTGGGTGTACAGTTCTTTTCTATTTGACTGTACATGTTAGCTACTGACTTTTCAAGTTCTGCTAAGTTTTTAATATGTTTGAGGATGCCTTTTGGTTCTCTTTGAGGGTCTGCAGTACATTCTGTTTTTGATGTTGATAGGTGTGTCACAGAACATTCAGTTTCTTTGGCAGGGGTCATGTTCGTAGTGCATTTAACAACTGGCTTACAAACACACTCTGACTTACAAACTTCACACTCTGAAGCTGAAGGTGGCAGTGGACAAGGAAGAGGAGGAGGTGATGGAGGAAAAGAGGGAGGTGATGGTGGAGTAGGTGGAGGGGAAGTAGAGGGAGCAGAAGTAGACATAGAAAGTGGAAAAAGTGGAAGAGGAGGAAGAGGAGGGGGTATAGAAGGAGGAGAAGGAAGAAAACGGGAAAGAGAAAAAGAAGTGAAGACAGGAGGAGGAGGAGGAGGAATTGAAGGAGGAGAAGGAAGAGGAGGGGAAAAGCGGGAGGGAGGAGAAGGAGAGGTGTTTGGTGGAATGGAAAGATTTTCAAAAATATTCCTTTTGGCTCCAACAGCAAACATACAAGTGGGGGTCTCTTTCCTAACAGGTGGAGAATTTAAAACACAAGGGCTTGGAGGAGAAAGTTCCAAGGAATGATCAGCAGACTTGATGACATCAGGTTCTGATTTGAGTTCCACAGTTCTTGAAACAGTTGGTAAAGTGGAAACCGAGAAGTGAGGCCAAGAAGCAGGAAAGGAAGAGTCTGAAGACAGGGGCTGTAACTGTTCTGCTTCCTTCATGATCAGTGACTCGCCTTGCCTGGTTTCCTCCTTCTCTGTCATATCTGCACCTTCAGTTGTGAGCAGTGGTTTGCTGCTATCTCTTTTGTTTGGATACATTCCAGTGCTTTTATTTTCAGCTTTCTGCCTGGCGTTTTGCCATTGCTCCAGATCTATGGCGTCTGGTCTGTTTGGAACTTTCCTCATCAGTCTCCTAGGTAAACTGAGTGACTGGTTCCACATCCTCTGAATCTTTTCCTTTGAGCCCCTCAGGGACTTGTTCTTAGCTCTTGTTCGGGATGAAAATGGATCTACAAAATCTGTTCTCAGTGACAAGTCTGAATTTGTTGATCTTTGACCTATGTTTTCATTATAAAAAGGGTTATGACTACTCAGGGCATCCTCATCAGATAGAAATGTGAATTTTCTTGGAGATTTCGGCTGGCTGTTCTTAAGTAATCCATCTATCGGATCTGGCTTGGGAGCCTCGATAGTTTTGGAAGGAAAGGGCATCACAACTTGTTGATGTCTCCTGTCTTCTGAGACTGAGTTATTTCCCCTGCTTTGTTGAAAATGGTAGAGAAGGAAAAGACTTGAAAGAAAAGAAGATAATGAAATGTAAGGAAACAGGTTGAGACATAGCTTTCATGAGAAAGATGTTTTAATGGTTCTCATTACTACTTCAAAAATATAAAAGGCTAAACAAAACTAATCTATTAAAGCAAGACCTTAATTTCAAGTTCTTATTCTCAAAAAGGCAGGGCAGGAAAGTCTTGAGAGTTTTGAGTAGCAAGAACATTTTTCATTAAAAAATTGTGTCACTCTATACATTTTTTAAGAGAAAATTTTGCTATCGGGCATGTGTGCTCACTGGAGAGAAAGAGAGACAGAGAGACAGGAAGTGAGGAATTATGCCCCAGAGAGGATGGCCATGCCACAATCACTTCTCCTCCATTCTCCTTTCAAGATTTTGGGTACACACGCACACACACCTGGCATGAGTTTTAAGCCACCAGGTCCAAATCAAACTGTGGTTGACTATGTGGGAGTCCAGTGACGTAACCATTACACCATTTGCTAGTCCTTCTATACATTTTTTTAGGTTATTATTCTTTTTTCAGTTAATTTGATTTATTGAGGGATCCATGTCCATACATAATAGTTCACTCTTGTATAAATTATAATCCTCCAAATTTCATACCGACATTAAAATTTTTGCTGCTGGATACATATGAAACCCAGAAAGACAGAGAGAGGGAAAGTAAGAAATCACCCCCCACGGGAGATGGCCACACCCAATCCCTTCTTCTCCATTATCCTCTTGGGGTTTTGGCATACATGCACATGCGCCTGGCATGATTCTCAAGTCACTGGGTCTGAAACTCAAACCATAGTTGGCCATGTGGGAGTTGAATGCCTTAACCACCATGCCACCTGCTGGCCCCAGGGCTCCTATAACCTTTGCCTTGCTTAAGTATGCTCAGAACCCACTGTTAGGTATCGAAGATCTTAGCTATATATGATTCAGTATCAAGATTCATTTTCTCTCATCTCAACAACTGAGCCCTGGAGCTAAAAGTATTATCTTAGCTAAAACAAAGTTTACAATAGAAAACAAAAAGGGATATTTTATTCATGAGATTAAGAGAATTAAATTCTCCAAGGACAGATGAAAGCATTTGTCAATATTCTTTCAAAATAACAAGTGGTAAATTGAATTTATGCTATAATTTTACCAGAGATTATTTTCTTCTGCCTAAATTTTATGCTTAATCAGGTTGAAAACATTATCAATAATACTAATCAGAAGAGGCACTATTGGTGTTTCCTTCACATAGACTCTAGATCAAATTTTAGACTCACCTTAATGAAAAGATTTCTGTTAAAAGAATGTTTTGATATCATTGAAAGATTAGTTCATGTATGGACACTGAGTCATGAATGGCTGTGAGTCATAAAAAGAGGTGACTAAGTCAAGAGCACAAATAAAGTACCTCCAACAAGACACTGAGAATGGACTCCTCCCACAGAAGGGATGAGTGACAGGTGATTTTTGAATAGTCTCAGGTTTTACTCTCAAGTCCAGAAAGAACTTACAGATTGATTTCAGTTATTATTCAATATTGACCTACTCTCCAGAAGTAAAGTAAGAGAGAAATATTTTAAATGGAAAGTGAATAGCAGCATTGAAAAAAATCTTGGAGACAAGTTAAGCAATAAAATGACACATAAAGTCAAAGTTACTAATGTGTCATTGGGCAACGTACAAACTGTATGAAAGAATTCTTGTCGGCGGCCCTAGAGTATCAGCCCCCTTGAATAAATCAGAACGTGCAGATAATTTGGCTTAAACAATCAGCAAACTTTTTACCTGTCTTGATATTGAATAGTAATTTTTTTAAAAATATGTCAGGAACCACTTGGCCCTTATATTTGTGAAGATCTGTTCTGGGTTTGATTTTTCATGGAAAAAAAAAACAATATATATAATGATATAATACTGCTTTTGATGGAAAGAAACCTGCAACTATTTTTAACAAATTAAACCAAGGAGAATTTTGAAACCCTTTTGATAGGCACAAATACTGCTGGGAATACTTGTTTTGAGCTCCTGCCATTTCAAGACATCAAAAGGAAATTGGGTATGGAAGATTAAACTTCCCTTCAAAAAGTAAATTACGCCATGGTAAAAGATAACCATCCCCATATTTATAGCAAAGCAACACAATCTATTCTACTGCATCTTTGTTTCTAATGCGCTGGTATTAGAGTGATATTATTTACTTACTTATGCCTATGTATCCACAGGTGAGAAAGAGAGAACATGTGATAGAAAGAAAAAGTTTTAACTATAGTTAATTTGAGATGAGTATGAAAATATTAACAGGAACTTGCTTTAAACACTTTAAAAGAAAATGCATGTTTTTACATTTCCTGGTATATTCATAAAAATATTTAACATTTCAGATAAAATCATGACATTTGTCTTATCATAAAATTAAACCTCACTATTTACTATAAGCATAAAATTTGCCCCAAGTAAACATGGATGACTTTAATCCTAAAATAGAAATTTTAAAATGAGACTCTGACAATTGCTACTATGTCCTAACTTTGAAAAATGCATTAGCACATACTGATGTGTAAAGAAGATGTATTTTGTCTGGAAGAGACTAAATATTCAAGTGCTATGGTGACCACACAGAGTAATTGTTGAGCCTCAATGAAGTTATACTTTATCAAGCTTTTTCCCAAAGTAACCTTTGATTTCTTTCTTTTAAAAATAATTTGCTAATATTTCATTCAGAGATATTTCATTTTCTAGTAATTAGAATCTCTATAAAAAGTTTTTAAATAGTTAAGTTGGACATTTCCTATAGATAATATAATTAAATGCACAGAACTTAAAATATTTCACTAAACACATGTAAAATATTCTACTATGTAGTCCAATTTTTCAAGTAAAAATAGTCCTAAAGTGTTAATAAACTACTTGAAAATTACCACCATTAAACTATACTGATTCCAACTGATGTTACAGTGCAACTGCTTTTGTTAAAATAATTAGAAAGTATTCATTAATTTCATATATAAACACACAATTTTACACATACTGCCTTTTTAATTTCTAAGGATCTTTTCAGGAGAGAGGTACTTAACATAACCAGGTAGAATCAAATCATATTGGCTCAATTCCTACATTCATCAATATTTCAAAAGGAGACCATCATTTTCAACTTGTGAAAAAATACATCTTTAACATGTGTTATATTATCATTTTAGAAATAAAACATCATGAATTAATGTTTCAAATTTAGTTTTAGTGTTCAAGCAATAGCATTAAAATCAATTTTAATATTAAACCTACTCTAAAGACAACCTTGCATAATATTAATATGGCAAATAATATCAATGTATCCATTTAGTTTTCCCATTAAAAGGTGAATATCAGGACTCTTGGCTTGCTTTATTCCTACTAGTAAATGTAACATGTAAGAACATATTTTAGTCTCTCTACTCCACCAAATTTCAGTTAATGTGAAGTTTCCTGGATTTAATTCAGTCGTAATCAAAATTTTATAATATCTGTGGTTGTTTTACGTTCGCGTCAGAAGTAGTTACTCTCAAAATTTTAAACTATAGGCAGATCAAACATTTCGAAAAGGAATCAGATGATAAGAGTAGCATCATGATAGCAACAACTCTGTAGTATTCTACAATAAATCAGTCTTAATCAAAATATATTATTTAAAATTGCTTAGAAATTCCAGATAGTTCACGAGAAATACTAAGCAATCACACCAGTTAAAGAGTTAGAATGAAATGTATATTCTCTAAGTAGCTGAGCATTTAATATATGGACTCTTCACTTTCCTTCATATTTTACTGTATTATATAATGCCCTAAAATAGTTTTTTTTTGAAAAGTATATGAATTTAAAACATAGAGTTTGGGTTTGGATACCAAATAGGGTTGGCTTTGATACCAAGTCTGAAATGATTACTTGGGACCAGCAGTTGGCATAATGGCAATGTCGCTGGATTCCCACATAGTCGACCGTGGTTTAAGTCCCTGACCCGATGACTTAAACTCACACCGGGCGTTTGTGGGTGCATGCCCAAGATCCCAAGAGGAGAATGGAGGAGAAGGGATTGCAGTGTGGCCATCCCCCGTGGGGAGTGATTTCTTTCTTTCTCTCTCTCTGTCTCTGTCTTTCTGGCTAGCGCATGTGCCCTATAGCAAACCCCCACCCCCCTCCCCCCCAAAAAAAAGTAAGAAATGATTACTTTAAAATTATTCTTTATTCCTCTCATAACCTACGTGAAAGCATTCTTTTTCTGAAAAACCTATTTCTAATGTTGAGGAACAGTGAATGACCCGGAAGTTTTAGAAATTAAACACAATACCCAACCTATAAACCTACAATTCCTCGAATTTAAGACTGCTTTTTCTTCACCTTAGTTTTCTTTCATTTTTATTTTTAGCTATTACTTTTCAAATGAACTTTTCTTGGTTTGTCATCCTAATTTTCTATTTCAAAAAGAATGAATAAAAGAGTCCAGGTAGCCTGAGCTGCATATCCACATCAGGTTGAAATTTCATACTCACCACATGCAGCCTTTAACACCCACGGAAAGTGCCAGAAAGGTCTACTTACATCGTGCTGTCTCCAAGCTCTTCATAGAGATGCGCACCCGGAGGTGGTGGTGGCGGTGGTGGGGGCCCTGCCACCGGCGCAGGAGCGGGCACTGCTGGTTTAGCTGCTGGTAAGGCCGATTGAATTCGTGCTGTCTTGGTGCACTCAGCTTGGCGTCTTGGGAAAAGTAAGGATGTCTCGTGAAACTCATTTTAGAAATCATGTGCTTGTTATTAGGCTATGTTTCAATAATGAGGTCCATTTATCAAAGGAACCCACTTACAAATTGTACACAAATATATGAATTTATGAACTGATAATTACAAAAGCATCCCCACAACGCATCACCTATGTATAATGATTATAATCATTTATGTATAATACATCATTTATGTACAGAACTAAAAGAACTATATTTTAATTCTTTAAAAATATTTATTACTTGAATATAGATAGAATTTAGTAGAAATACTTGCAAATTAAATTAAGTGATCATTCTAAGGGAGAAGTAAAATAATTATAAAAATGTGATTGGGGCTAGCTCAGGCACAATGGTTAAGAGGGCTGGATGTCACATGGTGGCCTGTGTGGACTCTGAACTAGTGGCTTCAAAACCATCCCTTGAGGGTGAGTGATGCCCAAAGTTCTGAGAGGAGAATGGAGGTGAAGGGATGAAGGGACTGCAAAACTACCATTCCCAAAAGGGAGTGTTTTCTCACTTTCCCTCTTTCTGTCTCTGGCTAGCACACATTCCCTCTGGCAAAAATTAAAAACAAACAAACAAACAAACAAAAAAACAAAAAAAAGCTCAGCGAAGGATAGTTGATAGAAGTTCCATGGATTTCTTTCATAAAAGGAGGCATACAAAAGATAAATAATTGTTCTTCATTATTCATCTACTGATGTTTAAAGAAAAATTGTTTTAAAAAATGATTTAAGATGTTTTTGAAGTTAGTTCACAGAGGCTGCATAGATGTTGATTTGGTTAGCTTTCACGTGCTTCTCATTCTCAGTAATGCTATTTAGAACTGAGCAGCTGTTTTTGAATATCCTGAACAATGACTATTAATTCCTTCCTAAAACCAAGATCTCAAGGGGGAGAAACTATTAGAGCAAACTAGCCTTTACACATTCAGTCTGCTTGTATCTAATGTCTATCATTGGTTTCATTCTGTATATTTCAAACCAAACAGTATAAAACTGTTACAAGTGCAAAACACAAGTAATACATTGTTCTAGGAGGGTGAGTACTTGATCCATAAGATTGGGGAGAATTCTATTCATATTACATAAAATCATGAGTAAGATATTAGTAATTGTACTTACACTTTAAACCTGTTTAGGAAAGCAATGAGTAGGAAAAAAGAGAAAGCTATATTAGAAATAATTGCATTTATATTATTTTAACACTATGATATATTAAAAATTGTGAAAAATTTAATGGCCAAACCAGGAATGACACAGCTAATGACATAGTAGGGGAAAACTAAATTTAATTTAGAAAGTGAAAATAGGAGTATTTTATTATTAATTTTGCAGTCATATAAGAGGTTAAGACCTTCATTACAGAAAACTGAAGAAATAAACTGAATGGAATGAGAAAAACTGACTTGACACATGAAGATGTGAATTTCAATTCTAAAGGAGACATAGAATATTAAGATGGTCCAATCTTTATAATCAGTTTCTTGCTTTCCTCTGCTTTCAGATTACTGAAGGATGGAACCACACACGAGCCCTGATTACAGACCCGGCCTCACTTTGAAGCTGAAGTTGAGATTGGAAGGTGCCACTCTTTGGGAATGAATGTATGACACTTTTTTTTTTTTTTATATTTGCTTCTTAGTTTTTCGTGCATGGTAAGTTTCAAAGACAAATAATAATACAAAATAATAGCCATCCATTTCTATCTTATTTATAAGCAGAATATGAAGGTACAACTGTTAGATCTTTAAATGTTAGAATTGTCCTCCAATATATGAGCATAGAAACCTATTTTAATTCTACTAATCTAAAACTTTAACTAAAATAAATTTATAGGATACTGGGCTAAAAGAGGGAATTAAACAATGCATCTATAAAATGTTTAAATATTAGGCATCTTAATTTTTTTTGTTACATTCCAGACTACTGAATATAACATCCAAGGATGCTTCCTTGTTGATTGCTACATTGTGTTCCAAGTCCAAAATTTCGCTCAGTGACTTCATTGCTAGTAGGATATAATAAAGCTGTACTGGACAATGGTTGAATCTAAAATTATAACTGTTAATACAGAATAGATGGAACATGGAAATTAAAATCAGGAGGATGGTTTAATCATTTCAAAAAATTTGTCCAGTTTTAGGTTTGTTCTTGGGCTTTAGATTTCCCTATCAATTGAATTGCTAAGGATATGTTCAGTTCCAATAAATCAAACTAAATGTGATATTTGCAACTTCATATTGCTTTTGTGATGAAAATATTCCTGTAAAGACTTCCTGCAGAGCACACTTTTAGACTTTATGTTGGAATTACTCTACTGTATTCAATTCAAAAAGAAATTTGCAGTGTTTGAGAACAATGATTACAGTTCAAGAATATGTAAGGACTATTTTGGTTCTTTCCCTTTAGGTGTTTTAAACAATGAATAGCAGTTCCACCATTATTTCTTACTGTTTATTACACCAAGTAATTTATAAGATTCATGATTTCTGTCATCTATTTTCTCTTTGTGACACCACTAGGCTACCTATTTTAACAAGTTCCCCCATTTTTTCAAATCATTGTCAATAGGGATTTATTTAAAATATGTAGCCTTTTAACACAAAGTTTTCTCACACTAGCTTCAAATAAAGACTACATTAAGAGTCTGCTTCAAATATAGATGTTTAAATTAGTCATAATAACTTGATTACTTTGAAGGGCCTAAATAAAAATTTAAGGATAGATCCTTGTGAAGGGATGCATTCAACTGTAGGAACTGGAAAAACTAAGGATCTGCAAAGCCAGAATATACTGTCAGACATTATAGTACATGCCCTGGCAAGTCTACACAGAAAGGAAGAAATCATAGGAAAAATTATATATGGTATACTAAGATAATATTTCTAACACTATGATCAATGTTTACAGGGTAAACATAACAGTATGGATGAAAACTGACAATGTAGTGAGGTTATAGACCACCTTTTGAAAACAGACGGGTTGGAGCCAGCAGATGGTATAGCAGTTACATTGCTGGACCCTGACATGGCTGACTGCTGTTCGTGTCCTGGACTTGATGGCTTGAAACTCATGCCAGGCATATGTGAGATGTGAGGGCATTCCCGAGATCCCAGGAAGAGAATGGAGGAGAAGGGATTGTGGTGTGGCTGATTTCTTACTTTCCTTCTCACCATCTCTCTCTCTCTCTCTCTCTCTCTCTCTCGGGAGTGCACATGCCCTAAGGCAAGGACCTCAAAAAAAAAAAAAAAAGAAAGAAAGAAAGAAAAGAAAAAGGAAATGGGCAAAGTGAATATCGGCATGTGACAACAATGTTTTTTTCTATTGCTTCTCTCCCCAGGCTCTTAACCTTAAAGAAGCGCATAGCAAAGCCACAGGCACTAACCTCTTACTCTTCCTATTGGATGAGAACATTTAAGGAGCCCAGGAACATTAAGCCAGCTGTGAATGTTTGTATTGTTTTCCCTTTTAGAAAGATGACTTGGTATAAGAAGGATAACGCAATCTCGGAGGGGCTACATCACCAAGATCTTACTACAAAGCCAAGTTACCAGAGACGGTTTTCAGATGCCTTTTGAGGAGCAATCCTTGTTTACATCCTTGTGTACTTACTGTCTGTAGCTGACCAGAACCACCAGGATGGCAGGGATACAGCAGAGGATGATGATGAAGGCCAGAGCAAGTAACGCTCCTTCTGTGTATCCAAGACTTTCTCCTCGCTTCTTAATGCTGGTCACAGCCTCTGGAGTTCGGATCTCTAGAATGCGTCCTCCTTCCCCATAATGCGGCTGAAAGTCTTTATTGATATCGAGCAGTTTGCCATCCAAAAATCTTGAATGATAGATAAATAGTAAGATTAGTGGTGTTAGCAAAGAAACATTTTTTAATACTATTTTCTGTAAAATATTTATTTATTTATTCCATGAGTGAGAAAGAGGTGAAAGACATAGAGAAACAATCTTTCTGAGGGTCTTGGAGCCACAATCCACTGCTGGCCTCAGCCAGACAGGATCATGGGCACACGCATGCCTGGTACACGCAGGTCTCCAGACATGAACTGGTAACCATGCTATGTGGGACTGCATTGCAGAGCATCAGGTTTACTGTCTCACCAACGTCCAGACCCTATTTTACCATTTTTCATTGACACAAGTGTCAGAAGATAGCATATAGTGTAGCCAGACCGAAAGTGGTAGGCAAGTCAATCACATAGTTTTTGTAAACTCTTCCTCTAAATAATGTAATTCCAACTGTTGGATATCGTGTTTGGGAGAAGAATGGATGAGTAATTGTGACTTCATATTACTCTATTGAAAACCTTTGCTCCATATATCATACTGTGATTGACAGGTAACACTTTTTTCAAAACTGCTTGGGAACTTTTAAATAGTTTTTTAAATCAGTTCTACATATTGGTGCAACAATATATTTTTAATATCAAAACACCATACCATATCTTATTATTTTTCTTCTTTAATTAAAAGAAATTTTTATATAGATTAAATTTCTTAGTATAGAAAATTGTAAAAAATAAAGTACTTCAAGAAAAGCAAAAATCACTCATAGATAGTCCCATGATACAAAGACAATCATAAAATTGTTGCTAATGTCATGGTATAGTTGTCTGCTTTTTTAAAAAAATTAATACATTGTTATATACTTGTGATTATGTAGCATATATAAAGTGAAATATTATTTATGAAAAATTTTTATTATTTTTTAATTGCCAGAGAGAACATGCACTTGCCAGAAAAAGACAAGGAGAAGGAGAAAGTACCCAAGGTCACGCCAAATTCCCGTCTCCATTTCTCCACCTGTCAGGATTTGGAGCATGAACACACATGTGCTTAGCATTTTTTTCAAGCCACCAGGGCTGAGATTCAAACTGTAGTTGGATATGTGAAATCCAGTCCTTTAAACATTAGGGTATAAACCCTAAATCAATATATTTATTTTTTTATTTTTTATTATCATAATCTTCTTTATATTACATTGGATTACATATAACTTTACAGTG